AAAAAAAAAAAAAAAAAAAAAAAAAAAGCAACTGTAATAGCAAGGAAACAGAAAAACTGTATGAAAAAATAGGAAGTACATATGGATCACTTCTGTTGCATTCCAAAGAATAATCTAATTGTCACATGGAAAAACATTTCTATATTTGAATTCTAAACTGAGCTAGTTGCTTTTTTTTTCATGGAACACCATTTTTACTGAAAAGAATGAAAGACAAACTGATGGTTCAGACATGGGGAGAAAGAGAACCTGTCACTTCAAAGAACAGAACTGATTGTATTTGCTGTCAATGATAAAATTAAAGCTTTCAAATGAAGCTTAGAATTTTGGAACACTTGTATCCACTACCATGAGCTTGACATTTAAGCCTATTCTGAGATTGATGGTGATATTGACAAATGTGATTGTTTTTATACAATGAAACGTGTCAATATTTGAAGGGTTTACATAACTCAGTGAACAAATATTTTCCACATGACTAATGCATGATGTTACAAAATCTTGCACAGGAAAGATACACTCAAAAGGCAAGATAGAGGAATGCAATTTAACATTACAAAGTACAAAAACTACACTGATATGGCTTCAGCTTCTACACTGTAACTAACTTTTGAGAAACTACCTTATCTAGTTTCAGTGTAGTAACAACAACAAAAATAGCTACAATTATCTGAAAAGGCTATTAAGATATCTATACCTTTTCCAATGACATATCTCTGAGGCTGAATTTTCTTCATACACTTCAACATCATAAAATAAAATATAAAAGCAGATTGCGAATCCATCTGTCCTGTAGTAAGCTAGACATTTAAGAGGTTTGCTAAAATGTAAACCGCCACCATTATTCTTTATTTTGGAAAATATAGTCATTTTTTTAAGAAATGGTATTTGTTAATACTTAATTGTTAATGTTTTCAAAATAATAAATATTTAAATTTTATGTTTACCTGGCTGTTGGCAAGAGGCTTAATATCTGCAGCCAGTTACGTGTGTGTTACGTGCAGCTGAGTCAGCTGCTGCTCCTGGTGACCCTATGAATGAATGATCTCTACAATGTCTTGTCCTCAATAGCCCTGCTCAGCTCCTGCAGACTCATGCCTATGGCTTCTTTCATGGAGTCAGTCCTCTTTTTCCCCTTCTACCATGTTCTTTTCTTTCTTGATTTTCCCTTGTTATATTTCACCAAAATATTAGGTTCAAGTTACTAAAGCAAAGCCAACAAATTCACTGTATCTTTGAACATAAGGGTTTAATAACTCGTTATTTGCTCACCACCAAAAAAGTAAAGACATAGGGGAAAAGTATTAATACCATAACCTTCCTTGCCCCAAAACTAAATATTGCCTGTTGTTCATCTATAAAGAAACAAGGCAGAAAACATTAACATTAAAAAACACAAAATAAAGAACAAAGTTGGAGGTCTCACACTTCCTGATTTCAAAGCTTATTAAAAGCTACAGTAGTCAAAATAAAGTTTCATAACGTTGAATTTGGCGATGATTTCTTGGATAAGAAACCAAAAGCACAGGCAAAAAAAGTAAAAATAAATTGAATTACATCAAATTAAAATCTTCTGTGTATCAAAGGTTTGATATTATGATTTATAATAAGAAATATACATTTGGTCTTCATCCTCATTTCTGGAACAGACTCCTAAAACTTTTGGAATTTCCTATGTGATGAGAGCAATAAAGATGTTTTTTGTTATTCATAACAAGTCCCTTTAAACCACCTATGAGTTTATGTTAATGAGGTGTTTTGTTTTTTTTTAAGAAAGTCCCTAAGGATGGGGTGCTGGTTGCCAGAGGAATCAACTGTGATTAAAGGGTTGGAATTTTCAGCCCCATACTCACACCTCCAGGTAGGGGAGAGGGGCTGGAGGCTGAATTAATCACCAATGACCAATGAGTTAATCAATTATGCCTATGTAATGAAGCCTCTATAAAACCCCAAAAGGACAGGGTGTGGAGAGATTCTGGGTTGGTGAATACATGGAGAGAACACACGGAGAACACAAAAACTCCATGCCCTTTCCCACATATCTTGCCCTACACATCTCTACCATCTGGCTGTTGTTGAATTAGTTCTTTATAATAAGCCAGTAATCTAGTGAATAAAATATTTTCCTGACTTCTGTGAGTCACGCTAGCACCTTAGTTGAACTCCAGAAGGGGGCTTTGGAAACCCCCCATTTATAGCCAGTTGGTGAAAATTATAGGTAACAAGCCAGACTTCCAGTTGGTGTCTGAATGGGGGGCGCCGCACACTTGTGAGACTGAACACTTGATCTGTGGGATCAGATGCTATCTCCATGTTAGTAGTCTCAGAATTGAGGTAGATTGTAGGACACCCAGCTGGTGTCACAGAACTGTTGAGTTGTGAATACCCACATATCTGGTGTCAGAGTATTTACTGAGAGTAGGGGAGGCACACAGCAGTGTTATTCCTTAACAAAAAGGCACAATAGTGTAAAAAGGCGACCTAAGGAATGAGAGAAAATATTTGCAAATCATATACCTGATAAGGGGTTAATATCCCAAACATAAAGAACTCCTACAACTCAAAAACAACAACAAAAAAAATACAACCCCCCAAAAAAAAATCACATGAAAAGAGGCTCAACATCCTAACTAATATATTAGGGAAACGCAAGTCAACCATGATGAAATGCCACCTTACACTCATTAGGATGGTGATTATAAACACACGTGCATGTGCGCACACACACACACACACACACACACACACACACACACACACACAACAAATGTTGGCAAAAATGTGGAGAAGTTGTGGAATCCTTGTGCACTGTTTATGGTGATTTCCTTAAAAACAGAATTACCATATGATCCAGCAATTCTGCTTCTGTGTATATATCAAAAAAAACTGAAAGCAAGGTCTCAAAGAGATATTTGCGTACCCATGTTCATAGCAGCACTATTCATAATAGCCATAAAATGGAAGCAATCCAAGTATCCATCTACAGATGAATAGATAACACAATATGTACACATTATAGAATATTATTCAGCTTAAAAAAAAAATTCTGACATTTACAACATGGAAGAACCTTGAGGACATTATGCTATGTGAAATAAGCCAGGCACAAAAAGAGATATACTGTGTGATTCCACTTTATAAGTTACTTAAAACAGTGAGTTAATAGATACAGAAAGAGAATGGTGATGCAGGGAGTGGCAGTGAATGTGGACTTGTTTAATGAATATAGTTTCAGCTTTGCAAAATGAAGAGTTCTGGAGATTGGTTGCATCGCACTGTAAAAGTACTTAGCACTAAAAAAAAAATACAGAATAAGTCACACTATACTATGCCCATTTGTAAGTAAAAGACGAGATTAAATTTAAGATACATAAAATCAATTCACTACAATATGTAGTTTTTAAATTCTTACCTGGTTTTTCTGTGTTAATTCATTAACTGAACTTTGAAGTTTTTGTAGTTCCTGAACATACACAGCAACTTCCTGGGGGCCTTTGGCAAGTTCACTCCTTAGCTGGCTTACTGTGGCCTAAAAAAAAAATTAGAGCAAACTAAAATGAAAAAGGAAATGGAAGCATCCAAAGGTTTTAAGGTGACATAGAGTTTTATCATTGTTGTTGTTAAATTGATATAATCCTCAGAAGTTTCAACTTGGTTCATTATCCTGCCATCCCACATCTTTTTGGTCTCAAAAAAATAATTTTTTAAATTTATCCAAAATGTACAACTTCATTTATTAAAAATACATGAAATGAAAAGCTGACATCCTACTTGATGTGCCTGAAGTAAGCATCAAACTGCAAACCTGAATTTACTGGCTTTGAAACTCTGTACTTGAATCCTCTTGAATTTAAAGAGGATATGCAAGTTATGTCTACATTTTCTACCAATTTCTATAGCATAGCCTTTTCTTTTTCTTTTAAAAGCATGTTAAATGCAAACATACAACACAGAATCACCTTGAAAGGTGGAAAATCATCTTTTTTAGTGTAATGGAAAGTATCTGTCCAAAAAAGTTACCAAATGGAAGTTATATATACTAGTTTCATTAAGCTAGATCACTCTGTGATCAGATATAATAGCTGGACATGCATTAGCTTTAAAGCATTTCAACATTTTTAATGAAAATTAATGTCTATTATTAAGACAATGGTTTGATCATTTAAAAGTAATATTAGAAAAAGGTGAGCAAAGATCTTGAAGATACAAACTTTGTATACTTGAAAGCTTCAACCACCAGAGAGAAAGACTAAGTACTGCTTTTGAAGTATGGTTTCCTATAAGTGACATTAATAAAAGAACTGTATTTCTAATATTGCTTATTGGATTCACTTTTCATTTTTTACATTCCTAAAGTTACAATTATTTTCACTGTCTATGCTCTTTATTAGTAAATAAACTTTATACTATGAATAAGACAAATTTTTTTTTAATTTTTCTTAATAAACATATCAGCAGTTACCTACATCATATATTATAAATAAGTACTTTCATCTTCAAGGGAGAAAAGTTAGAAGGCTACTAATTTATTGTGACAATAATACCAAGACATCTTTTGCTACTCCTCTTTTGGAAAGCCTTCCAGAGTGTGTGGCACTTTTTTTTTTTTAAAGGATTCTCATTGCTGGTGTATCTTCATCCATTTACTGTGACTTTGGTTTTAAGTTTTGGAAACCACCTAGTAAACAAGATAAATGACTGAACTGAATAATCAAACACTTGGGCTTCTTTTATTTTATTTTAATAACCACAAATTAATGAAACTAGCTTTTTGAGTGTTTTCCAAACCAGTTTAAAGTCAATTCAAAGAGGCTTCAAAAATGTTTTTAGAAATGGCAGCATATCTTGAGACACGTTCATGGCCTGACCTTTTAAGGAAACCATTCATGTGAACGAACCAATTCTGATATACTGAAAGGCATTTTGTCACATTACTATATATTTATACCTTATACAGGGTGTTTCAATAAAATATATAACAACTGATTATATATATATATATATATATTATATGTACATATATGTGTATACACATACTTCAAAGAAGGAAATCTTTAACTATTCATGTATTTGTAACTGTGTCCAAGTTAAAGGCATATCCTAATACCTTCTGTCTTAAACTGATTATGTAACCTTGACATGAATGTAGGTTTTGGGAGTTTATTTCAAATTGTTATTTCTAACAACTTGGAATCTCAGAATCACTTTCTGTTAGTAACATTAAGGATGATATTGTTTTAATCATACAGCACAAATGCCAACTTATCACAAAAGAAAATAAATTATCATAAAATCCCTATTTATAAATATCTTATCAAAGGATTTAGCACATAATAAACAGAAATAAATAACAGTATATATTAGAATTGCATTTTTAAACCTATATAATTTTATTAACCAATGTCACTTCAATAAATTTAATAAAATATATAAATAAAATGCAAATTATGAGTATATTTCATTAAAACACCATGATTCCATATTAAAATTTATAAGATATATTAAGCCAGTATAATATCTCTCTAATATCTATCTTGTTGATAAATTCCAACATATGAGAAGAAACTAACCAAGGAAAATACATCCAAAAATAGTTGTTATATTTTATAGTTTTTAGATGTTCTTATAAATGATTTTATAATGTTAACACCTAAAGAACTGAACATTAGGTGTATCATTTATCACTGGTACACTAAGTATATATATTTTTCAAAACTAAAATTTTTAAAAAGAAAAAAGCAAGCGTTTAAACTGTTTTAATTTACTCAAGGGGGAAAAAAGAAAGATGTGGGAAGAGCACACACCAAAAGGTACATTTTAATTATGGAGAAGGGAAGGGAGGGCAGTGAATCATAGAAACTTTCACTTTCTCTATTGCACATTATGAATCTTTTACAACGATCAAGTATTATGTTTATATTGGGGGGAAAAAATAAAGATTAAAGAGAGACAAAATTTCAAATGAAATCAATACACTTCCCATTCATGGTGAAATTCAAAGAAGGCGCTCTGCTCTGGCCACACTCCCCTTCCTCCCTCTCTACCAGGCCAAGCTCACCTGTGCCTTGAAGGCTTTAGCGCTTGCTTGCACTGCCTCTCCAGCTCCCAGTTCTTCAATCTGATGCCTGCTTCCTTCATTCTTCTCACACATACCCTCCTCCAGGAGACCTTCCCTGATCATTCTATCTAAAATGGTGCCACATTACTGCCAGCTCCACTACTGCATCCCCTGCTTTGTTTTTCTTTATAGCACTCAGCATTAACTGACTTTCTATCATGATTTGGTTTACTTATATATTGTTTGGCTTCCACAAAGGAATGTAAGCTTTATGAGAGCAGGCACTCTGTCTTATTCACTGTTACATTCCCCACATCTAAAATAGCTGCTGACACTCTGGCATTCGAAAGATACTCTCCAAAGGAATGAGTGATTCTATCTCCAAGAAGTTAATATATTTGTTTCCATAGAAACTGTATATCAGACCCTATAGTTTGTATTCCTTGAAGCCACACTATTGAATTCAACATTGAATTTTTACTAAAAGACTTTAAATTACAAAATAATCAAGGAAAGCTTTTTCGAGCAAACATCCTGCTAGTAGTTTAGAATTATAGTTATTGTCCTAATAGTCTACTACTTTTAGTAAATAATCATTTAAAGATGGTTGGAAATTTGCTTGAATAATAAAAACAAAAATGAGCATATCTTCAAATTTCTGATATTGCCTTAATACACAATATTGTCATATGACGATAAACATACTATATTAAAAGTATTACTAATATTAAAAGCCTTCCAAAAACACATTACCTCAAGTTTAAGCACCTCCATAAGAAAGCAGAAAAAAATAAATAAAATGATGGATGAAAGGTGGAAAACAAGACTGACAAAAGTACACATTGAACACACAATAAAAATGTCAAAACATGGTGCTAACTCTGATCTCTTATAACAGCATACTTTTAAAACATACTTAAGTATTCTCGTTAAAATCTCTGCTGAGTATATTATACTTATTCCATATCTTTGTCAACAGTTTAGCTTTTAAAACTGGAATTCAAATAAGTTTATTTGGAATATACGTAAGATTCTTTAAAAATAATTTCCATTAAAGACCAAACTAAATATAAGTTGATTACAGCTTTTATATTTTCAGTAATGTAGATTTTTAGAAATACTACTTTTTAAGCTTTGAATCCTTAGTTTCTGATTTGTAAAATAGCTAATTAGTATTTATAAAGTACTTTGAAGTGCTTTAGAATGAGTAATTTTTCTATATGCCTTCTAAAATATCTAGACACCCCCTAAAAAAATCTGTCAATGAATTCCTAAGGTATATATTTAGTGAAAGTAATGAAACATAAGGATATATTTAACAATATACACCAGATTATATATCTTCAGCCTCAACAAGGGATACCAAATAAGTCATTGCATTTTTTAGTTTCTTTAATTCCTTTTAATGTGTTTTATTTCTAATGCCAATATTTAAACTCAGTAAAGTAGTAATACATAAAATAAAATTTTTTCTATTAAGCTCTTTAAGTGCTATAATTTACCAATATACTTAACTGAAAATAAACAGAATTGAATATTAATAAATTAATAAAGTACATGCTATCTATTTAAAGAGAAAGCAGAAGCTAAAAACAAATGGAGTTATAAACAATAAATGAGATGGAGTACTTAGACAGTAATTTTTTTTACATATAAAAATGGTATGAGACACAAATCAAAAGTTACTTTAAACTAAACTCATATATATTACAACATACAACATAGCAAGATATAAAAAGTAATAACAATGAGTATTAGGTCAAGATTAATTAGCACAAATTTACAAACCATCAGGCCAACTAAAATGGGAGATAACATGATACAGAAAGAAAACAGGCTTTGGATAATCCTAGCTTCTTTATATTAGGTACATGGCCTTGAGTAAGATTTTAACCTCATTGAGTCTCAGATTCCTTACATATAAAACAAACTTAATACAGTACTTAACTCACAGGGTTAAAAGAAACAAGTGAGACCACATATTTAAAGTGCATAGAATAGTATTCAAAACTAGTGGTGCTCAAAAGGTAAGAGTTTGTTTCTAATAATATTACTCTGACTCTTATGCTATGATTTTCTAAAGTCGTTCAAGATATTTCAACACAATCTGAGGTTTCAACGACTATATATATATCTATTAATTAACTAAGTAGGGAGTAAATATTATCTGTGTTTTACTAAACACATAATGAAATATTAAATCACCAATTATTCAGCAAGAATAAATCCCTTTATTTTCAAATTTACTTCAAAACACTTGAAAAGATTAAATTTTATGAAAACCTGAAAGAAGATCCAAAGAATAAATTTCTAAGCCATTTCTCTTCTTTCCTAGAAACATCTTTTCTAGGGGAAAAAAAGTCACTGTTTCCTACCATCACCCCTGTTGACAGGAGGACAATGTGGGAAGACACTACTAATTCCTTTCACTTCAAATCTTTTATAACTCTAGTTATACCTATTTCATATTAAATGACCCTCTTCTCATTACATAGAAAGCTATTTTAATCTACATGAATAAAAATATAAATTTACAAAAATCTTGCATATTAGAGCAATTTTTAAATAAAGCATTACTCAAAAATATCTTCTGACATATTTTTCCCAAAATACAAGTAAATATATAAATTTCTTCTCTTTGTTCAAATTCTACTTGTATAACAAGTATAACTCCATAAAATTCTCAGCTGGAAAAGGTCAGAGAGGATTGCACTTTAAAACAAACACATTCCAAAACCACCATTATTGTGATTCAATTTTAATCACCCTATTACATTTGTTTTGAAATTTCAAATGACATTAAAGGAATTTTTAATCAAAAAACTATCTTTTATTTTTTTAATTTGAGAAATGCTAGCAGGCAGATTTAATCAAAGGTAACTCTTATTGAAGGACAAAAGTAAATGACTGGATTCACCCAAAGTATTTCTACTTCAGCATTATCTAAATAGAATTTTTCCTCAGGAGACTTCTTTGAATCAGCCTCTCCTTGATTACACATTTGGAGCTTTTAACAGTCTTCAGTAACTTCGTGAACTCCCTGAAATTGTTTGAAAAATTATGGGATTATGTGCTATTGGGATACAAAGATCACTTTGGGAAAATCTGGGCCTAAAATTCATAAACTTTAAAGTCTGAAGTGTTAAGCATCATTAAGCCTCATATATCTATGCATGCTATATCCATAAACGTTCACCATTCCCCCATTGATAAGATATAGGAAGAGGTAAACTAAAGGATCACATGGATTATCGATAATATTTATACTCCATAGTTCATTAATATATTACTAAATATGAATAAGTGGCTTTTAGATTACCATCTTAAAAATAAATTGAAAGGTCACTATAACTTTATGTTTTAAACTGGAAATACAAAAAACAGAGGTCCATATCACATGAGGGAGCTAATGAACTGCAAATAATAGTAGTCATAACAATATCTCCTATAATACAGTAAAAAGGATGAAGGCTAGCACTTTTATGCAAATATATTTATTACATATCATAGAGCTTATCTGTCATATGCTACCATAATTATATAAAGTATTTACAGGTCAGTTATGTTGTATTAGAAATGGTAAAAGGAACTGAGAATGTTTATCCTAAAAGAGAAAAAACTCAGAGTAAATATGAACAGTCTTCAAATATCTCATGTGGAAAAGAAAAACAATTTATTCTGTGTCATTCCTGAGGAGAACTGGAACCAGTGCATGTAAATTACAGGAAAGCAAATGTCAACTCGATGGAATGGCTGATTTATAAAGAAATATGCACCGTTACACCATCTAGCAAGACTTGAGAATCACTTATCAGAGATGCTTCCTTTATCCCTAACACCTAATTGAAATAAACTTAATTAGCACTTACTGACTAGTCTGGAGCACTTAACTTTAAATGTCATCTCAACACAATATATATCAATTATTAAATAGAAGAATACTCTTTTATGCAAAAATTCTTCTCTACATAAAGCAAAGATAACAATGACTCTCAGACCATAATGACTATATACAAATGCTACTCAAAGCAAACACTCTTTTGATAGGTCACTCAGAAAAATCTCAAATCCTGGCTTCTCTCAACAGTATAAACATGTTAATATTAATCACATTTAAGTACACTGAACTTCATTACCTCTGAGTTAGTATAATCTGCTTGTAACTTTTTGCACTCATCTTTTAGTTTTTCAGATTCTCTCTCACGTTCCAAGGTCATGTTGTCCATTAGTGTCTGAACTTGGACCAGTTCTTTCTTTAGCACAGCAACATCTTCTATACCAGGTCTCTGAAGCTGTGAAGCAAGGGATGTTAATTAAAAATTACAGTGAAAAGATAAAATAATACACATTTGTAAATGGTTTCACTACAAAGAAATAAAAATGAAAACAATCTTTAATATGAATTATTGAACTCCAAAACTTCAAACACTGATTTCTTCCCCCCAAAACCCTCTTCTCTTCCCACTCTACCTCATATTTAATAGTATTACCACTCAAGGTGCAAAATAGCAAATTCAAAATTATGGTTAGTGCTTTATATATTTTCCTCCACACACTACACCCATCGGTCATAACAATCAGTTGATAAATGGCACGTTGATTCATTTTCTATCCTAGGAAATTGGTAACAAAAATGAAGAAGGAGCTGATATAAGCATAATTAGGATTTGATGCAGGTTGAATGTAGGTGATTCATTTATTCATATATTTATTGAGTACTAAATAAAGGACAGAAAGGAGTCAAGGACAAATCCGAGGTTGTTAAGCCTAGGGAAAGTGTTGAAGATGTACAGTACCAATAACAAAAATACAATTATGGACGAAATATGATGACTTGATGCTGTATTTGTTGAATTTGAAATGAAAGCTAAAAATGCAATCAGAAGTATCCTAAAAGTTGGTGGATTTAAAAAACTAAAGTGCTGAGGGCGGCCGAGTGGCTCAGTTGGTTAAGAGCTCGCTCAAGAGTTTGAGCTTTGAGCAACAGCGGTTCGGAGTTCCGGCCGGAGCTGAGCAGCCGCTGAACTGCCAACAGGTGGCAGGATGGCTCAGCTAAAAAAAAACAAACAAAAAACAAAACTGAAGTGCAAGGGAAAGTCAGGATCAGAGGTGCAGATGTGGAAACTACTAAAAGGACAGATGATATTAAGATAGAAACAACAAAAATGTTAAGGTAATAAATTATGTATCATAAAATTTCATTTTGATTTAAAAAGTCATACACAGTATATACTGCGTTGTCGGAAAAGTCATGACGCATTTTTGCAATGAAAAACATAGAAAAAATACGTCATGACTTTTCCGACAACCCAATACAAAGGTGGTAGAACTGTAGAGAATTAATTTCCTCCATTTACTCAAGCTATACTTTAGAAAATTTTTCATTAAAGCATGTATTTCATTTTTAATTTAGAAATGCTAAAAAAATGGTTTGTAAATTACCAGTTCAGTCGTCAGATCTTGAATTACAGTTGCCGCATTGTTTAATTCTTCTGTCAGATGTGTCATTTTTTGTTCAGCAGCTTCTCGAAGACTCCTTTCTTCATCATATTTTGACTTTATATCTAATTAAAGGTAGATATACATATATATATATATTAGTTTCACAACATTAACTCTAGGAAAGAATAGTTTTATAAATTCCTGCACCTGGCAGTGCATATATGTATATAATTATATAATTTAATTCAAAGTCACACTTCTTAGATAACCATAAATGTATACAATAAAAGTATACTTCTGATTACATTAATGAACTTAAAATAATCAAATGATTTTGACTATATAAATTATACTAAATGTTATTTTAGTATATACTTAATCACATATAATATTTTTACCTAAAGCACATAGTTAAAAAATAATATATGTAACTGATACTATAAACAAATGTTAAATCTATACTGTATGATTTAACATCTTCAAAATGTTACTTGTTAACCTTTAAGATGCCCCCAAAGAAAATTCATCTTCTCTAAAATTCAAGAAGAATTCTACAAAGAAAATCAGTCCTTTGAAGGATGGAGGTGGGATGACAAACAAAATAATTTATATATCAATCCCATTATTAAATTCTAGTAATCATCACCAGTCTATAACCAATGCTTTATCACTAAAATACAATGTTTATTTCTAAGATAAATAATAGCAAAAAAGGTAATGAAGCTGATGTATTAGCTAAAAAATTCTTATTCAATATACCTGCAATTTCGGTGGCAAGTTGGGCTGCTTTCTGTTCAAATAAGTCTTTCATTTGCTTAATATTAAAATTTTCTGTTTGGGCTTCTTCTAACTGTTGTTCTAAAGACTGTAGTTCTACAAAAAAGCATAGTGTTTGTTCAAATACAATGTTAATTACATTTGCTAAATTGTTATTACTAACATCATAATTGTTGCAGTAGTTAAAGACAATCAACGTGTCTACTACTATTTAAAAGTGGAGTATCTTCACATTTCAAGAATTAAGCATTTGTTTCATTTAAGGCACACGTCATGATTTACAAACATGTAAAACAAATGAAATGAATATTTAGCATCACACCCAAATAGTCTATAAATATTTGTTTTAAAATTATTTTTATTTCATATTTCACAGCTATTTTCCTATTATATCTGTCAAATGACCAAAAAAATATATTCTGCTTCTCTGATAAAATTTGTTATTAATGCAAAATGAAATTAGAAATGGTTTAATAAAATAATCAATTAAAACATGCAGTCAATTCTTCATACTTCAGTCTCATAAATAAAATAGATTTCAGAGGGAAATTAACCTCAAAATATAACTCTGATTATTCATTGAGCATTCTTTTTTTATTTTGAAATAATTTTAAACTTTAAAAAAGTTGCAAGACTAGAACAAAGAATTCCTATATATCTTTCACCAAAATGCCACCAAATATGAGCATTTTGCCGCATTTACTTTATCATTTCTCTACATATATTAACAAACCTAGTACCCAGAAGATTCTTAACTACAAAGCAAAAGAGTAATTTTACAGTGGAGAAACCTGGCAGACACCATCATGGAGCATTCTAATTACAGAATTTAGTCAGTTACAAAGTCAGTTAGAAAGATGCTAGTTTTATCATTTTATTTCAAGAGAAAAAGAGTACATCACTCTTGGGCCGGCCGAGTGGTGTGTTGGTTAAGAGCTGGCTTGGGATGCCAGCTCTGAACAGCAGGGCCCCGGTTCGGATCTCACATGAGGGCCAGTGACACTGCTCTCTACAGCTAAGATGGTGAACAACAGCTCAACCTGGAGCTGGGCTGCCATGAGTCGCCAGTGACGGCGTGGGCTGCCATGGGCTACCGTGTGTGGCCAGCAGCCAGCATGAGCAGCCGGCAGCCGGTGTGAGCTGCAAAAAGCCACCATGAGCGGCCGTCCAGAGGCAGCCGACCGATTGCCTCACCCGGGAAGGGCACAATGATAATACCAACATGGGCCAGTGAAGCAACGTCCTCCACAACTAGACTGAAGAACAACAGGACAGCAACTTGTCTGTTCCCCTTCCCCAATTCCCCAATGCTGTTCCCCTCCCCCAATTCCCCAAAAAAACCTTAAAAAAAAAAAGCGCACATCACTCTTTAACACAGATTTAACTTTTCATTAAACAATATTAATGTAATAGTCCAGAAGTTTATTTATAACTTCAGAATATAATGCACTAAGAAAACACTAAGATTTTAGTACAGTGATTAAAGTATGAAATTTATAGGTAACAAAATCTGTAAATCTCAAATATGACTGTTCACTATTTTAGAGCCATAAAGTATAACCACAAAACAAAATTCATATACCAGGCATAAGAGAAAAAGAAAAAAGTAAAAAAGGATGAGAAAGAAGAAAAAGAAAAATGAAAAAAAATATCTCTTTAAGTAGTTACCTGCTGATGAATCAACCACCAATCCATCAGGTTTAGACTCCTCAATGAAAAACAAAGACATAAACAAATGCATTAAGAAGAAAAGACAATACTGTTATAATTGCCAATGTTAACAAAATCTATGAAAGCCACATTCTGTCAGGTAAGTAGCAGTGTTTTGATGAAAATTAAATTTTGCCCTGCTCACATTCTTCCAGATCTCTAAGGTAACAGTAGGCAGACTGGCATAATAATTTAATTTCAGTTTACTGGTTTTAAAAATGTTTTGGGGGCCGGCCGAGTGGCTCAGTTGGTTAAGAGCTCGCTCAAGAGTTTGAGCTCTGAGCAACAGCGGTTCAAGTACCGGCCCGAGCTGAGCAGCCGCTGAGCTGCCAACAGGTAGCAGGATGGCTCAGCTAAAAAAAAAAAATGTTTTTGTATTAACATATAACAAATTACTGTATCTTGCAATAGATGGTATTTCATAAATTCAGTAATAAATATAAATTATTATAATTATAAATATAGATTCTAAAGCAAATACTCAAGTCAGCAGGCAAGGTTCGATCCCATAATATTTGAAAAAATTTACATAAGATAAATATGCCATGGAACTATCACTAATAAAAAATTTGGCTTTAACAGCATAAATTTTTAATTCATGATTATAAATCATCATTAAAAGAAGCAGAAATAGGGCCGGCTGAGTGGCTCAGTTGGTTAAGAGCTCGCTTAAGAGTGCAAGCTCTGTGCAACAGCAGTTCGATGCCCAGCCCAAGCTGAGCTGCTGCTGAGCTGCCAACAGGTGGCAGGATGGCTCAGCTAAAAAAAAAAAATAAAAAATAAAAAATAAATAAAATAAAAAGCAACAGAAAGAACATATTCTGTAAGGTTTCATTTATCACATGCATTAGGAACAAATAATACAGTGCCTCATCATTATGTCCATATTCTAAAGAATTATACGCATCTGCTAGAGTTTAATAAAGTATCTCATAGTATACCCAACTCTTTATTTTCCTATACATTGTATTTGGACAAACTGATTGCTAAGAATCATCAATATTTCAAAGAATTTTCTCCCAAAAGTAAATCTCCTAACAAATCAATTTACACCTTGCACTATGGGGAATTTATTTAATGTATTAAATGTGAAACAGTCATCTCAAAAGTAACGAGCAATTTCCTCTCTGTTTTCAGGTACAGAAGATAATATTGCCTATGTGTGATTGATTGTTAATAGCATCTATGTAAAAAATGAGTAAATGATCTACAAGCATTTTAGATTACTAAAAACCTCTTTAATGCAACCCCAATTATAGAAGCTGAAGTAATAGGACTGATATCTTGTTATTCATTTACTTGTTTTTGTCTATTCTAGTGCAAATGACAATTTTTGTTGAAAAAACTAAAAATCAAAAAGACTTTTTTAGTATAAAAATCATAATCGGTTAAGATATTCACTTAGAAAATACACTGAACTAAATAAAAGAATCTAAGATATCAAAAGAATCTCACGCAGACATAACCACTTTTGATACCACAGTGGTTTTCTTGGGGTTTTTTCTGCGTTATTTCTTTGTAAAGTCATATAGTATAACATACATATGTGTGTGTGTGTGTGTGTGTGTGTGTGTATATAAATATCTTTGTGTGTGCACACATATATATTTTTATTCTGTTTTTAAAACCTAACATTATTAATAAAACAGTTCCATATTTTCAAACGTCCACTATAATAGTCCATAATAGTTAATAATGTTCTTTCCCTACAAATTTCAGTCATTTCCAACTTGCCACAAACACAAATGCTTTGAAGAGTTTCACTATTGTTTGAATCTATAGTTTTAACTATGTACATACATTATTAGAATAGAATAATGTAGCTTGATATAAAAAAAACAATCCACAGGCAACTGATTTTTTAATGAAGCATCTTTGAGAAGTTACATCTTAGATTCCCATATATTTGTTTGCCTTCATTAGAATTACAAAGGATATGCACTGTAGCCTATTCAACACAGAAAACAAATTAGTAAATTATTTATATGAGGCCACCTGCTTACAAAAAAAAAGTGTTATGCTTAATTTTCAACAATGAAAACAAACAACTAATAAACACAATTCAAGTATTTAAAAACAATTACTTGATGCTGCAGTCCTTGAAATTTTTCTAATTCTTTCTTTAATTCTTCTGAGTACCATTTTTCTTCCTAAAGGGAAAAAAAAAAGATTTTTAATTAGCAAATTTTAGAAAATATATTACCTGAAACACTGAAAATAAACAAATAAACTGTTTTTATCCTTACCTTAAGTGAAGCCTGCAGGTCCTGAACCTCTTGTCTAAGTAGTGTTATATCATCTCTAAATATAAATGGTGGAGTGGGGAGAGAATTAATAGTTAGTGTTAACAACCTTGTCTCTTAATAAATCATGGCTAGTGACTGTATATTAATATTTTAGTTTTCTCAACTTTTAAAAAATAATAACTCCTGTAGATTGCATGTATAGTGGCATATATATAAAACCCTTAGGAAAATAATTTTATTCCTAAAGCTCATTGTTTATAAATGGAAAACACTTTATCATGGAAATAATGATCTAACTGACTATCAAGGGGCTAAGCCAGCAGCAAAATATCTCCCATTAATTTACCAACAATAAGCATCAATGGTTTCTTGCTGCAGTTGGCATAAAATTCATATTCGTTAACAAAGACTATACAGTCCCTGCCTTATCACTCTCCCCTTTACACACTTAGCTCAAAAAATGTTATTGGCTTCTTTCTCTTGAGTCTGACATGCTCTTTCCTGTCAGAACCTTCTCACATTCTGTTTCCCTCACCTAAAAGTCAGTGTAACAAAGAATGGTGAGCAAAAAACCACTGTAGGCCCTAATGTGGAAAGATTTCACAATAAAACACTTTTGGGATTATTCTTCTGGATGTTAAGAACATATCTCCCCCTGTTGGATTATGAATAGCAACAAAAGAATAAAAGGGACTCTCCTTGTTCCATGCCAATACTAATGGCTGCCATGGTACAAGACACAAGAACTGAAATGAGTTGATTAGGAATACTCAAATGAGTTGTTTCTAGTATAAAGGAAATAGGAGAACACGATCATTTCTAATGATGGAGAAAACTAAGTCCATGTCAGCACAAGCACTATCAGACAGGTAAAGGTAATGGGACATACTGGTGGGTGATTTATTCCCTAGGATGAGGGCTGGGGCAGAGGATAAAAAGACAGAGTCAGCTTCATCTGTGAAATAGGGTTAACAGTAGAAAAGGAAGGGAAATTGCCCAATAAGAGAAATGTAGCAGAGGGAGAAATAAGTCCTCTACCTCTTATAGATGTTCATACATAAAGACTAATTCAGTATTCAACAGACATTTGTTGTCTATGCCAACTCTTAAGTTGTCCATTCTAATGGGAGAAGTAAACAGGTAAACAAGTAATCACTACCATCAGTTCTATGACAGAAATAAAAACAGAGGCATAAAGACAGTGGTCACTTCTACCCAGAAGGGCTTCATGATGCAGATAAACTCTGAGATAAAGTCTTTAATTCTCTGAATACAAAAGTAAAATTCAATAATAGATTACAGCTACTTTTGTTGACTCTTAAAATTTATTTTCTTGTAAAATTTTCATTTCTGGTGTGTGTGTGTGTGTGTGTGTGTGTGTGTGTGTGTGTGTGTGTGTGTGTATGTCCATCCCTCCCTCTCTCCCATGTGGTCCTATGAACTAATCTGATTTATAGAAATCACATGCCAACTGTAGGACACTTAGTCTTCACATATGTATGGAAAAGTGTGGATGTGCTTTAAGTTTTCTCTACTATTTATCAATCTTCCAACTCTATGTATAAACTAAGATGATGAAGAAAGGAATTAGTAACAATATACTTAAACGACGCATGTAAAATGTAATGAAATTCCAAGGAAGATAATTCCAATTCAACTTCTAATTTGGTGGGTTCAGTTGCTCCAATTAATCTTTTTAAAGTGTCACTTCAATAAATTTGTTAAAATAATTTGCCTAAATAGAAAATCTTCTGAAATGTATAACATATCAAACCAACCTAGGATATTTACAAAAACAACTGGCAACATCTATCAAAATGTTAAAGGAAAATTTTATCCAAAATTCCACTTCTAGAAATTTACCTTACAGATGTACTCAAACATGTGCAAATGACACATCCACAAGGACATATATCACATCATTTGTAATTTCAAAACACTGGAAATATCCTACATGCTCATCAATAGGAGAATGATGAAATTATATGCTGCCTTTAAAAAGAATGAAATAGCTTTATCTGCATTGATGTGAAACAACCCGTCCAAGGTACCCCAAGGTGTAAAGGAGTCTCTTCCCACCCCACCCCCATCTACCTTCAAAGACACCTCACAACATAAAAGCATCAGGTTTTAAGGCTACAAGTGAAACATTAGCCTATGTCCAAAGAAACCCCATACACATGGAAATGTGTCCAGTTAAGTGCTATAAAAATTTAAGCCCCTCTATAAAAATAATAACAACAATTTATGACCTAAGGCAGGGCAAACTTCTAATTACTCAATATCTCCTCTTCTTATCCTGCATATGACCTTCCTTCCCTTTAAAACTCCAAGGCACCTTACCTCATTCTTTAGCTCAGAATATCATAATGGGAGTTCTCACCAATAACACAAGCAAAGCAAAGTTACATTGTTGAGTGCTGTTCTAAGTAATTATATTTTAGTTTAATTTAATTCTTAAAATGGTCAAATTGTCAAGAAGCAGAATGTGTATGTGTGCTTATTGTTATATTGGTGATTATAAAAGAAAATTTTTAAAATAATTATTAAATTTTAATTCTTGGCTAAATTCATTATCTTAACAACTTACTATAAAATCCTGTAAACAAAGCAAATCATTCTTTATTAAACAGAATATACTAAATGTAAATTAACTTTTTGATAACTCACAATCTTCATTAAAAATATAATTTCTGGACCACGTTGTAGATGCTGGTATAGATAGCTGGTCAAGCACAAAATAGGTTATAACAAAAGAGGAGGAAGGCCATGCTAAACAAGGGCAGATTTAAATTAAGTAATACAAAAATACTACTATTTTCACAAACTAAATATTCATGACTAAACATTACATGCATTCATAACAACATTACACTTCAAACTATTATACTGTACCGCTTCAGAGCAAGGTTAGCCTCTCCTCCATGACTTGAATCATTACCAGCATCATGAACTGCCTCATAGTGTTTGAAAAGTTCATCAGCAGATCCAAGAGATTTCATACACTGGGGACATATGAAACCCTGTAGAAAAAGGGAGAAAAAGATTTCAAAATAGTATTTAATATTACAAAATAATAATCTGTATATTATGAAATATAGTAAAGTGTCTTGTTCACTTAATGATGGCATTAAGTAAGTTATAATTTGTGGTACAAATCCCAAATTCTGGTACTGTACAAAGGTTCGTCACTGTCTATTCTGCATGGAGTTTACAAAATGTGAAGAAAGTCCTTACAGTCCTCTTTTAGGTTGAATAAATTAATGGCTCTAATATACAATTCTAATCTGAGAAGTTAGTTCTAATCTATAAGACTGGTTGAGAAGATCTGCCATTATATCCTCCCTCTCTAGATGGTCCCATTAGTAAAATAATCCAACCTACTTCATAGGATTCTGATCACTGAAGAAAAAGGTAATATAGTATATAGTTCAGAATTATCACAGAGTATTTACAATGGTTGAGAAGTAAATTTCCTTGCTAACCTAAGATTACAGTTTTGCAAAAGCCTAAAATTAATATATAGTCCCATAAAACAAAGAATTTAGAAATAATCCCAGAATTATTATATGGTTATGGAATACACAGTCCTGCATGACTATTCTCCCAATGATCTCTTGACACTTCACACTCTATATACAATATGCTTCAACAATACTAAAGCACTTTTGTTTCGCTGAACACACCATGGTACCTCACATTTCAGTGCCTTTGTGTATACTGCATTTTTCTTCCAGCACTATCCTCATTAGCTTGTCAAGTTTCTATGTCCACTATATTACACAACACATTGGAGCTTTTCATCTGTGTTTCCCTAAGGACTAACGTAGAATTTTAACATACTATATATTTTCTACATTGTATATTTATTTAATGAATTATTAATGAACCTGGCAGTACAGAACTTGGTGAAAAAATCAGAAGAGTTTTAACAGCTTGCAGATGATCAAACCTTCCTAGGGAAAGAATGAGCTAAGCAATAAGGACTCTGAACATGTAAAAACTAAAAATAAATAAATAAAAATTCTTCTCCTTTGTTGGGTTTTATGCAAATAGCATATCCTCATTTATCCTTTATGCACATTATGTGGCAGAATCAAGGCTCACTGAATATTGGCAATGCTGTTATGTAGACATACATTACCAAACAATGCCATAACACAAGTATAAGTGAAGAACTATAGAAACACAGGAGAAGAGGTATCCAGCTTTGCCTGTGGCAGCAGTTAATGTTTTACAAAACATAAACTGATACATGTACACATTATGTTTTACAAAAAATACACAGACACACATACATACACATGTAACTTATACTAGACACTGGAATGAGTAGATGGTTGGTTACTTGTGAGAAGTAAAAGAAAGGTATTCCTAAAGCAAATGGAGTAGTATAAACAAAGAAGCAGGAAGAGGTATGAAACACAGGCATGCTGTATTTGGGATACAGAGATGTGCTGTGATCACAGATCCAGAGTGAGGTCAGGGTCACAACATGTGAATGAATGCAGTGACCCCATACGGAATTCCTGAAATGAGCAAAGAGACTTGTACTCAGGATGCACCTTTGAAAATAAGAGTAATGCCATGAGGCTGCAGAGATATTTGGTACTCAGCACAGTCTTCTGAATGAATGAATGCTCCTAGTCTATGTGTTATGTTCTTTCTTTAAAACCACCTCTTACCTACCATCATGTTTCATAATGGCTCTACATTATGCTTAATTTGGCATTCTTATAACTTCCATCTAGTAACTGTTATACCATACTAGTTGACATGCTTTTAGTGCAACTGTACATGTACCACTATAACATTCAGCCTGTCATGTCTCTTTTGTGTCTCAACTTCTGCTAATACATAGACGGCAAATTATAGACTGCTCCTCAGAGAACCCCACATCCCGATAACATTATTTAGTTTTCATAACTTTGGCTTTTTGGCTATTTTATCTACTTCCAAGCTTTGACTCTAGGTACCTGAGGATGCCAGAAAGCTTATGGTATGCCATACCATCTTAAAGCTTCTAAATATTACCAAGTTAATTGTCTAGAAAGACCTGATTCATCTATCCCTAAAGAGAAATTTTAGAAATTCAGTAATATATATTTAATTATAAAAATAATCCCTAAGTGAATTTTCCATGTGATTAGAGCTTGCATGTTTAAATAAAACTCTAATTTAAAAACATTAATAATAAAAATAATTTTTTCTAAAACATATATACTTCCTCACCTTCTTATATAGATGATACTAAACGTTTGCTTAATGTCTCAGAGGCATATATATTAATCACTGATTTGGGTATCATCCATTCTATTAATTCTGGCAAGCCTCTTTAATTCCTGTACCCACATTTTATAGTTTTTCCTACACCCTGTTGTGTCTTTCAACATGATATCTAAAAATTATTTACATGCTACAAGGTGTAATCAAACAATAAGGTGAATGCTTAAATTTTAAAAAATTTATTACAGTAAAAGACTCATTGTCTTTAATCCCCCTCACTTCAAACACACTTATCCCATCATTCTTGCCCCTTTCTGAAGCAGTTCTGGGAGTCCTCTTTAAGTGAGTGTAGTTGCGCTCTCGTGGCTGCTTGGATGTTCTGAATCATTTTGACTTTGGGGAAGAGCCAAAAGTTGCACAGTGCCAGATCTGGTGAATAAGGTGGATGAGGACACACCGTATGATTTTATTTGACAGGAATTGCTGTCTACTAGAAGCAATGTGTGACACGGAGTGTTGTCATGATGGAGACTGAAACATCTGCCCATTTCTCAGGCCATTTTGTATGCACATCATTTCTTAAATGCTCTAATAAGCCCTTGTAATATTCAGAGCTCACCATAATGTTTCTGGGTACAAACTCAGCTCGCACAATGCCATCAAGTTCAAAAAACACAATTAATATCACCTTGATGTTACAAGCAGCAGCATTCACTGTATTTTTTTTATCATACCTCGTATTTCTAGCAATACTAGCCTCCTATTGATAGAAAGGGTCGATGAAGGGAAACTTTACTAGAACTACATCACTCATTTAAAAAGAAAAGACAAAAAATAAGCTCAGAATGAGTGCCTGAGTGATGTCCCATGAATGAAGTACAGGATCTTTAGTTCAAGGACTTTGTGATACTAATTCTACACATTAAGAGATTCTGCCTCTATTTTTTCTAAACTTTCTTCAAGGAGATTGAGGTTGCTGGATAGATAACTTCCACAAAAGTACTGTGAGCAAATAATAAAACACTAAATATAGCCAGCTACATTAATTTCCCTTAATCATTCCAAATTTTTCACCAACTTCCAAAAAAAAACTAACCCCCCCAAACACAGTTTACTTAAGATTAAAAACAATAAATTCCTTCCTTTTAGATTTCAGTTTTTTGTAATCCTTTCTCAAATCCACTACAGCTAAGAACTTATGTTACCTTGATACTTATGAATTTCTGTTGTATCAAATGTCTTTTGAATTAAAAGGGAAGTTCTTATTTAAGTGACACATAGGTGAGATTATCACTTTTAATTTTGGCTAACCCATAAAGAAGAAAAGTTGACCCATACGATCTGAAAGGAAGACAACTAGTAAAATGCTAAGCAGAGTTCCAAGACTCTTTCATGCCTCTATCTTTGCTCGTACTGCTCCAGCTAGTTTAACTGATGCCCTCCTATATATACCATTTTCCCCATCACCCTAGAGAATGTCTGGTTTAACTGTTTCCCGGTGACATTTTTCCAGAGTTCTCCTCAAGGAGAATTAGCCATTGCACTTATTTTGCAAATAACATCGATCATAGAACTTCCTAGGGTAGAGATCATATCTTAGTTATCTTGTTACCTCCTTTACCTACCAAAATGCCTAGCACTAAGAGGTACTCTATTAATATGCTAAATAAATGAATGTTTGGTGAGATTGTTTCCTTATTATACACATAACCTCCCCACAAAAAAAAGTTATTCTGATTTTTAGTCTTTCTTTCCTAGTACAAAAAGTTTCGTTCTTTTGTAAGATTTGTAAAAGCAAAAGAAAAGCGCTCTCTCTCTCTCTCTCTCTCTCTCTCTCTCTCTCTCTCTCTCTTTCTTTAGAATGCTGTAGTAATTTTCAGAGGAAAGAGATAACAGATATATCAGGATCATCTGAGAAACTTTTTCCAGCCTAAAAATGGACAACACTTCCCCTCACTGGGTCCTACTCCCCGCCTTAGATATGTACCAGCTCCACACACTGCTGAGAAACACTTATGCAATCCACTGTTAATGATGGCTGTGTGTCAATCTGTCACCTCCCTCGGGTCTGGAGACTCAAAACAAAGATTGAGACAGTGGGAGATCCAGGTTCAATTGCTGTATATTTTCCCAAATAAAGACAGTAGAAGTTCATATTTAAAGTCTTCTTTCTATGTAAGAGTAAAGCATTTTAACCTAAAGCATTTTAATGCATTCAATTAGTAAAACATTACCTATGTAATAAAGATATAACTTACAAATGTTGAAATAAAATATTCACATTATATTACAAATTTCATGACAAAATTTACACAAAGATATTAACTTAAACTTTTATATATATTTACAGATTCACAAAAAGACAGCTGCAAACAGTAAGAGAAACGAAGCCGACTTCCAAAGAGCTTCTTTTCCTTATTGAACTTTCTTTAAAGCATGCATAATTAAAGCAATCCATATTCCCTTGTAGCATAAAAAGTTAAGCAACACCAAAGCAAGGAAAAACAGAGCTATTTTGAGCAACCCATAACCAAGTTGCTAAAACAAAATATACAGGACCCACAGTAACACTGGAGTTATTAAGAAGTTCCTGTCCTCTTGTTTCATTTTCAGCATGCACTTTCTGGTAATGCTCCGACAAATCAATAGCAGTTATACATCTTTTCATACATAATGGGCAGATGAAACCCTGTGAAACAACAACTTTTAGGAGGATGTACATAAAAAGTTATTTATAAGACAAAATACAGACAATGAAAATAAACATAACAGGAAAATAATTAGTATGTCTCTTAGATATGTAAAAAATATGTTCAGGTAGTAACTGCATAAAAGGTGAAAGATCTATACAAAGTAGGACTTCTAAAATTAGTTTTCATGCTGTGAATTACCATTGGTTCATTTTTCAAAAATTATAGTAACCAGTTGCTTTAGTTGGATTATTATTATTATTTTTGTTTATGACATTTTATCCTGAGCTATTATTAGCAAGTTAGCTTTTATTTTAGATCAAAAAATGATTAGTAGATATAACAAATACCTTTATGTGATATAATATTCTAAACAAAATTTCTTATAATGAAAGCAATTTTTATTTTTCACCATGTTTCACTAGCCTGAGATCCCATTCTTGCCCACACCCATAATTCCCAGTAGGTGACCCTTCATTCTACTTTTCGAGCCAAATAATATCATTTTAAAACAATCTCCCAAATTCCCTAGCCCAGGGGTTGGCAAATTTTTGAGACAGAAGAGCCAACCCTGTCCCTCACAAATTTAAAATTTATTCGAGAGCCATAAAACAAATGAAATCACCATTATGTGAATAATATCCTTTAAAAATTTTATAAATGAAACTATGATAATTTTATTTTCATTTTCAATTTTACTTCAGAGCCACATGTACGTACCCAAAGAGCCGCATGTGGCTCATGAGCCAGTTTGCTGACCCCTGCCCTATACCTAACAATAACGGTATTTTAAAATGTGTGCTGTTATAGTGATCTAGGGTTTAGGATTTTGTCAGATAGGAACAGTAGGACGAGATAACAGAGGAATTAACAGCATCAGGGGAAAAGTTAACAAAATGAAGACAGTGGTGATGGACAATAGGTTATAAAAGTCATAGTGTCATGAGTTTTGGTATCAAAAATAAATGAGGATTTGAATCTCAATCTATGCTGACTACGAGCTCAAGGAAATCACTCTACTTGCCAAATGTCAGTTTCCTCATCTATAAAATGGGGCTGATATTAGCACCTATTCTCCTAGATTTATTGTTTAGTAGGTAAAATGCTTATTTAGTACAGTGTCTGAGACATGGTGAGTGTTCACCAATACCAAGAGTGACATTAAATGTGTGATTAGAAAGGAAAGAAAATGAAGCATGGAAAGGTTGAAAGGCCACAAGAAAAGATAGGAAATAAAACCTGAAATACTCAACAAGGACACAGTTAAGTAGTGAAAATATGATAAAGTTTTTAAGGGGATAAACACTTCTGGTAAGAAATGGGAGACAGGATTTTAACATTTCAGGTGAAATCATTCTGCCTTGTAGTAAGGTAAAAGGTATGTACTGCCATTGGCATTGATAACATTAAGAACTGGGAGGCTAGGATGGTCTTTGAGTCACTAACGTCACTTAGGACAGACAATAAGGAAGGAAAGGAAGGCTGCAAACAAGGTTCCAAAGTGAGAGGCAAGATAGGGTAGCAGTTAAGAGCTAGGCTTGGACTTGAATGTAGATTCACACTATTCCTAGTAGCCTTTATGACCTTCAATTTCCTCATCTGTTCAATGAGATAACAATAACAACTACTTCATATGGGTCTCATGAGAATTAAAAGAGATAATACATGCAAAGTACTTATCACAGCACCTGGTACAAAGAAAATATTCAAAAAATGTTGGCCGTCATTAGTATCATTATTCTTTTTGTTAACAACCCTTAAAGGAGATTAGCCAGGAGATGAAAGTGAGGAATATGAATTCAATTTTTTTTTTAAATGATGAAAGGAATGTCCTTCAGATAACCACAGTCCCAAGTGCTAGAACTACAGAATAAAAGAAGGCATCATTGCATCTTTTTGCTATGACAGCTTTATGCCTTTCATTTTACTCTGGTTTCTTCACTGTAAGTTTCCACATAAAATCTTTCAATAGTTCATTCAAAAAGTATTTAGTGAGTGTGATTATTGTGCTCTGTCCATTATGCTATGGTGCTGAGAATATACATATATATGAACATATTAGTTCTGTTTCTCTTTAGAGAACCCTTACACACCTACCTTCACCCCCCAAAAAAACCTTGTTGAAATGAATGAATGAATTTAGCCAGATTGTAAAATAAAAGATAGGCATACAAAAATTAATTATGCTTTGGTATCATAGGAACAAACAAATGGAAAATAAAATTACAAGTAATACCATTTACACTAATATGAAAAAACAAAAATTACCAAGAAATAAATTTAATAAAAGATGTATAACACTTTTCTATTGAAAACTACAAAACACGGCTCAGTGAAATTAAAGAAATAGAATTACACAGTGTGTAAGGATTAGAAGATTCAATATTAAACCCCCAAATTAATCTGTAGATTATATATAACCCTAATCAAAATCCTAATAGAATGTCTCTTAAATTTATATAGAAATGCAAGAAACCTAAAATGCAAAAGTAAAAACAAATTAGAAAAGAACAACAAAACAGGAAGACAAACTATCTGATTTCAAGACTTACTATGAAGCTAGAGAAATCAACACAGTATTAACATAAATATACAAATATAAATAAAGATCAATGAAAGATAATAAAGAACAAAGAAATACAGCCACACATATAAAGTCAATTGATTTCTCACAAAAGTGAAAATGTAATTCAATGGGAAAAGGTAACACTTTCAATGGTAATGAAACAGCCATATGGAAAAGTGTGGTTTCCATATCCATGTGGAAAAAAAATGAACCTCAACCACTATCTCACACCATACACAAGAATTTTAAATAAATCACAGGTTTAAATTTATACCCTAAAAGGACTTGTTTTTTTTTTAATTAGAGGAAAGCATAAGAGAAAGTCTTTGCAATCTTGGAGTAGGGAAAAAAATTCATAGACGGACCCAAAGTGCATTAACCATAAATGAAAAGGCTGACAAATTGGACTTCCCCCAAATTAAAAACTTCTCTTTGAACATGCCATTAGCAAAATTAAAAGTAAGCCATGAACTGAGAGAAAATATCCATATCACATAGATCTGACTGTGGTGTAAGGCCGAAAATTAAGGCCTCATATTATGTGCTGCCTTGACAAGTGGTAAAACTGAAAGGTTTCAAATGGCCTAATTGCAAGTTCCCCTCCCCACTCTGCCCCTGCAGATAAGGTCCTGTAGTCAAATGATCCTCTTTTTCAGAAGGCATAGGGCCTGCTTATCCCTGAGTAGAAGGTTTCAGTTGCCCGTCAGCCCACAGAATTACTCAAACAAGCCAATCACATCCTCCTGTAGGAACCATAGGGCACCTTACTCTCTTGATACCATAAAGCCTGACTCTCACAGCCACTGCTTGTTCATTTTGTTCCCAAGTGCAATCCTCATGTGGCCCTGCATGGCATGCAATGTCCTCCTCCCCAGGGCTGTGAGCATGTGACTAATAAACTGCTCTTGATCTCATGTGTCCAGTGTTGGGGTAACCATGTGTGCAGCCATCCCCATAAACCTCACGAATGGGGTGAATAGGAGGCAGTCAAAAGACTTGTACCCAGAATAAAAAACTCTTACAATTCAATAATTTAAAAAAAAATAAATCCAACTTCTTAAAGGGGCAGATTTCCAGTTCCAGACAAAATAGAATAGATGCACCATTCCCTATTCCTTCTGCTCAGTAAAGCTAAAATACCTAGACATTACATGTAAAACAAACATCAGAAGACTGAAAGATAAAGAGAAGGCAGACCAGCTAAGGATTTCAGGACCCAAGGGATGACCCAGAGGTGAGTACCCTGGGTTTTATTTTTGCTTCATATACTCCAGACTAGGTGCTGGAGAAGCTGACAACCTGGAAACTTCAGTGGGCCCTTACCAAAAAAGCCCACAGAAAAGCCTGCTCTCTCTAGCCAAAGGACCAGGAAAATAAAAATCGAATTTGTCATTATGTAGGTGAGTAGTTTCAGTGGGTACTGACAATGGAAGCCAAACTGGAAAGGGATAAAGCATGAACAAAGAAATTTGCTTCTGGCAATACAGTATACTAAATAGCCTAAACAACTGCCTTGATAACAACTAAATGATATAAACTATCACTTATTACATTAAGTATTGTACATTCTATATATTAGTTATGGACTGAATGTATACCCCAAAATTCATATGTTGAAATCCTAACCCACGATGTGATGGTATTAGGAGGTGGTGCCTTTGGGAGGTGATTAGACCATGAGGATGGAGCCCTCATGAATGGGACTAGTGCACTCATAAAAGAAACCCAAGACCTTTGTCACTCCTTCTGCCATGTGAGACAGCCATCTATGAACCTGGAAGCAGGCCCTCACCAGACACAAAATCAGCTGGAGCCTTGATCCTGGATTTCCCAGACTCCAGAACTGTGATAAATAAATGTCTGTTGTTTAAGCTACTTAGTCTATGGTACTTTTGTTGTAATAAACCATATTGACTAAGACAATACTATATACACACACACATATGTGTGTATATATATACATATATACACATATATAATGCTATATAATATATAATGTTATCTGACATATGTAATAAAATATAAAACATGATATAAATGAGTACCAAAGCAAGCTATTGCTTTATTTCTGGCTATTTCTTTAAAGTCCTGGAGACCATGATATTTCAAATTCCATTTAGATGGCTGCAAAGAGCACAGTGTTAAAACTCAGAGTTTGTTCAAAGTGGGAAGCCAACCTCAGGGTAAAAGGGAAACAAATCTGAGAGGGAGCAGGG